GAGGGTTTCCACAAAGTGTTGTAAATTCATACAAATATCATTGGTTTTAAGCTGCTACTTCCTTTTCTTTTTTCATTGCGCTTAAACTTCAAATAAAAGGACCTACCCAATCAACTTTCAGTTGCAGATGTCGTATTAAAGTCGCACAAATCACAACAAATACTATGAGACTAACTATAACTAGTTTCCATAGATATCTGACCAACATTCTACAACTTTGGCACTACACTCATACCAAAGCGTTTTAATGCGTCGGATCTATTCGAAATAGCTTATTTAAATCGAATTAGGATTTCTCGANTATATATATATATATATATATATATAAATATAAGAAGTATTATTCCTACACATAATCATACTAAGTACTATGTGCGTATGTATGTATGTGAGTGTATATAAATTATTTGAAAAATACAAAATTACTTTTTTCTATATTTCCACGCGTAAAATTCATATTTTATGTAAATCATACATAACATACAAATAAGTATTGTATATATAGTGCATATGTATATATATATATATAGTATAAATATGAAAATTATGATAATAAACTAATTTTCAATATTTACAAAAACAATGAAATATACATATGTTCATGCACATGGCCATTTCCGTCATGTCACTCAGGTGGATCGTCTACTTTTAAACGAAAATCAGAATGAAAATAATTTGTTCTAATGCTAAACTTACACAACAATAATATATAATTCATTTAAATGGGTAATTTTTTGCTCTTTTTTTAGTACATCTGCCTGGACTATCCCACGGTAATGCCCATATGTATGCAGAAAAAATATATATATATATCGTATACAAGATAAGCAAAAACAAAGTTATTGCATGTCAACCCGATTATTATAAAATTGTTTTTAGTTAAAAAATAAGTTACATACATACAATTATTTGTATGTACTTCTGGTTTGCTAACGACAATATATTGGCCTTATCAACTTTGTATCTTAAAATAACAATACAAATTTACATTGATTTATATTTGTTTTTCTGCGCATGCGTGAAGCCTCTCTTACCAAATCGTATGTCTATAAATAATATATGTGTAGTATTAACACATACATACATACACAGTATCTGACTTAACGACTATACATACATACATATTGAACTATGTACTTTGTCGGCAATATTTGCGTATAATAACAACAACAACAAAAAATAGTGAATTAACTAATAATTATTTAATAATTTTGGCAGAGCAGCGACAGCACGCAAAATGCAGCAAATTAGCAATTAGCAGTAGCAATAAAATGGCCACACTGGCAGCACACCCGCCAGCGCGCGTGCATTAAGCGACTCTTGGCAGCCACATATCAATCAATAATTGTTCATTTTGCGCCATTGCTTCATCACAAAATTACCGCAACACCAACTGCCCGAGTGACGTTGACTATCGCCGTCGCCATTCGCGCCCGCCTTCTCATGATTGCCGCCGGCCGCACAATTACCCGCGCCGCTACCGTTGCCCAGTAGTGCGGCACCACAGCCGCGTTGGCTCTCATCGAGATCGTCACTATCACCGCGTCCATCGTCGATGACGTCCTCGCCGCCCGCCAACTGCGGTGTGCTCCTACGCAGCGGCGTCAACTTGTAGCCCTGATTGGCTGGGCTGTAGCTCGACATCATATAGCCGCCACCATAGCCCGCGTAACGGTGCGAAACCGTTGTTTCGAAGGAGCGATTTAAACGGCGATCGTAAAGTCCGGGTGCCGGCGGACGCTGCTGCTGCTGCTGTTGCTTCTGTAATTGTCGCTGTGGTGTTGACGGTTCCTGTTCGGTGATCGTTAATGGCGTTGAGTCGAGGCGCTCAGAGTCGCTGCGATGGCGCATCGCCGTGGTGGAAGTTAGCGGTGGTGAGCGCTGGTGCGTTTGGTAACTGTTTTTGACCAGTTTTGGCGCCGGCTTATTTTTACGTGGCAAAAGTGGTGTCATGAAAATGTTGTCATAGCCCGAACCGAAACCGCTCTTCATGCGGTTCAGAGATTTGCGTGTGGCGCGCTCCTCAGACAGCGCACGTTCGTAAATTGGCAGACTAGAAGGTCCAGAGCTGCTGGCGTTCGAGGCGGCACCGGAGAGTGAATAACGATAACCGCTGGCATTGACACCACCAGCCATGCCGGTTGTTGTGGCATTCAGAGATGAAACCGAACTGGAGTATAAATTGAAATTATTTGGACTCGCCTCGCGCCAAATGTACGAGGAGTTGAGGCTATTGGTGGAGTTTTGCTGATTGTTGGCGCCGCTTTTGCCTGGAAACGGCGCGCCTGTATTGCACAAGTGTGGCAGTTGTGGATTTGACGTGGAAAAGGGTTTGCTGGTCTGCAGCTTTCCGCCGCGTATCGGCAAGCAAGGCGTCCATGGTTGTAGGGCTAAATGGGTGGTCGGTACAAAAATGTAAGAGAATGCGGGGAAGAGAGAAAGACAAAGAGAGAAATGAAATTGAAGAACCAAAAACGAAAACACGAAAACCAAACACAAATATGGAGGGCAAACAAACAACAATAAAGGACAAAATTTTGTGAGTACGCAAATTAAACCGATAACAACAATGGACAACAAAGCGTAATATTGAATTAAATATACGAAAAACCAAAACACCATATGATCAAACAACAAAAACAACAAAAACAGAAGCTCACAAATATAATATTTACAAGACGAAGTTACACAAGGAACCAATCAAAATATTAGCGAAGAGAGAATTTAGGCAGTTTTATTATATACGAGTATACTGAGCAAGTAGTTTTCTAAAGAAGAGTCATGAAAGCAGGACAATGTGAAATTAAAATATTAAGGAATGTGTTTAGCCATAGATTTTTAGAAAGTTTCGTAATAAAGTACAACATAGAAAATTATTGGGCTGGACTATGTACATTGTGTTGGAATCGGAGTTTAGAGTTGACGACGGCTTGAAGGGTTAGGTCAAAGAGTGCAGCAAAATAGATGTATATTGAAAGCGTCAGCAATGTTACAAAGCTTCATCGCTGTTAAAGGTCTATGGGAAAGCTTTAGGGGGTTTTTACCTTCACCCAGAATATTAGAAAACATCAATTTACGCTTGATGCGGGTTCGGAATGAACTATTTTTTGATATTTCCAAGCAAAAGGTCAAAACTTATTTATCTATTGCATATTTGAATAAAAAAGTGCCGACTGTCAACTACAAATTAATGTTCGTATTTAATAATTTTCATGAAAAATGAACAACAAACAAAAACATAACAAAAATAATAATGAAATTTTCTAGTTTTTTGCGTGATACAGAATAGAAAATGTAAATTTTCTATCAAAAATGTATTTACTAGGTTTACACGTTTATCTGGAATTTACACCTTTGGATGGAGTTTTTGAAAAGCTGAGCAATTTCTCTTTCGAAACAACCAAAACTGTGATATAAAAAAAAATGTTTTGCCAAAGGGAATTTTTTTCTTAAAAAGTAAAAATTAGTTATAACATTTAACTCTTCTTTGAAAAATTTAAAAATACGATTTTTTTTATGAAAGTAAATTAAAAAAGTTTTAAATATTTGTCTAAAAAGTATTCGAAACGTTATTGCGAAGGTCATCACGATTACGATCCCCGCATTTAATTGGTGAATTTAGGCTTACGAACAAAAGCAAATTGTTAGTGTAGAATGCAGTGGGCTGGGGTGGGTAGGTTTCTGCTGCGACTTTTTTTAGTATAGGAAACCAATTATTATCAATCTCCCAGAAGTGGCAACAATACAAAAAAGACACGAAAATAAATTGAAATGTAAATATGCACACAACAGGCAGACAGATAAATGTAAACAAATCGAAAAACAATGAAAATCTTTTAATGGCAAATAAACCAAACTATGATAATGAATTAAAATTTTAGTGTGGTATAAAAGGGTCAATGTGATAATTTTGTTTCAAATACAATTAACATATTAAATAATACAATTAATTTTTTTCCAATTAATATTAAGTTAAACTAATAGCTATTTTTTGTTTTATTTTATTTTTTGTTACAATCTTCAGCGACTTCTCTATTCCATTTCCATATTATAGTTTTTATGAGGTGAATCTCGGTGTTTGTTTGTACGCATGTATGTGTGAATAAGTGTAAACAAATGACTTTAATTTAATACTAAATTTAACTGTATACACTAGGTTGTGGTATTATAGTAGTTAACAACTAGTTGTAAAAAAGTAAAAAACAGCATTTCTTAAATTAATTAAATGTAATTATTTAATGTAAAACTAAAGATTATATTTATTTACTTATTAGCAGCAATAAACAGAATTCCAACTAATATAATTAAGCTATAATTAAGCGCTTTCAATTCGAAATTCTTGCGTTATTCAAATTGCTATGATACCCCTTCAAATGGTGTTTTAGTTGTGGTATTACATTTTTCAATATGGTTTTAATTTCAATTTTAATTTAGCTTTCTAATACTATTTAATTTTGGTAAATGCAACCAAAAAATATACATTTTTTTTGTAAAAAAAAAAATACAAAAAATAAATTGCGAGCAATAATTATGAAACCCACATGAAGCAGAAAACGGAAATGCATTTTCAAAAACACTGATCTCACTCAAAGTCTTTGCAAACGCATTTTTTTGCAAAATGGCAAACCAAAAGTTTTTTAACAATTTCAATTTCCAAACAAACAACATAACCACAAGCAATAGTGAAATGAAGTGAAGAGAGTTTGTATTGTATTTTAATGGAAGCTACACCCACCTCTAAGCAATGTGCAATGATATAATTTAATTACATAAGTACTACCAATGAGGAATAAATAGCAGAAATGGCGTATTTGTGGGTGCGTGTGTGCGTATGTATAGGTGGGCGGGTGTCTCACTTACCCGAATGTATTGTGTTGCGCGTGCTGTTCTGGTAGGCGGCGCAATAGCCTTCAAAAACTCTTAAAACCAGCACATCCTCCTCGAAAGTTGGCTGCATGCGCCGACCGCTGCAATAGCTGGCCAAAGCGTTGGCGCTGCCGCTGCCGCTAGTGACACCGCTGCTGCCATGCGCAGACGTGCTCAACAAATTGGGACGCAAAGGTGGCGCCGGACGCAGATTCGTTATACTCCAATTAGCTGAAAGGCAACCAGAGTAGTTAATGAGCTCACGTAAGGGCTTTGAATAACTAAGCACATAGCCAAGTCACGCCGCTCTCACCTTTTGTGTTTCCTATCCTTGCGTTTGTGGTTGCTGCCATGCTTCCCGCCACTGCCGCTTGGTGTTGCTGGCTCTTTGAAATACTGCTCGATGTCTGGGCTAAATTTGATTTGTGGTTTGGTGCCACCGGATGACTTGGTTGATTTGGTTGCGGTGGTGGAAGATGATGATGAGGTGGTTGAGGCTGAGTGTGCGTGTATTGATTGTAGCTGAGGTGGTGGTTGAACGACAGGCTCCGTTTGTGTTGTGACGGATGCGACAGCGACGTTGCCATCGACCCCGCCGCCGCTGCTGAACTTTGGGAGTTTGTGCGTTGCGCCGCTGCCAGCAAGCTGAGGTTCGCAGGTGGGGACATCTGGAAAGGTGCAATGGAAAACGATTTCGTAACTTTTAATACTGGGGTTCCAAGACTATTTTGTGGTTGGTTAGATTTTCTTCGACGCAAACAATATTATTTTGAACAGAAGTTAGAAACGGTTTTTTGTGATTATTATTTTATTATTTCTGTTTAGGTTAAATTTTCGCACGGATGCAACCACTGTCACAGCTTTTTGAAAAGCGCAAGCAAGCGAAACGAGCAAATGCGATGGCGAAGTGGTGTTGTGTGGTGGCAATGACGTAGATTATAATTTTGTGTGTGATTTTTTTTTTCAAATTCTTTTGTTCGAAAGGTTTCACAATTCAGTTTGATTGAATGGTTGTTGCTGTTGTAGTAATTTTTGGTTTTGTTTAATTGATGAATGGCGATTTGGCAAGCAGATGACGTGATTTTGGGCAAAAAGCAGAAAAAACACTTATATTATTCGGGGGGAGCCAGCGATGATACATGAAGCTGTCACTACCGTTATTCAATTTAATGTTTGCAATATATATGTATGTAAAATATTTATGAAAAGCGTTTTTTCATACTTTTCATGAATATGATTAAAATGATGATTGAATCGGTGACTGCAAATACGATAAGAAGAAACTCTGGGCCCTGAATTGTCGAGTTGTTGGAAAGAAGCGTGCTACACGAAATTTTGAAAAAAAAAAAAAAAAAAAACAATGCAAAGCGTTACGATTTGCAATAACGCTAGTGACGACACTTCAATGCTCAAATGGATTTAGGATTAACGATGAATGTAAGCGCTCATCTGGCGCTCAACTCAAATGCCAAAAACGAAAAGAACAGTTGTTAACTAACGGTAACACAATTGAAAACGCACACGCGCTCCACAGTCGTCTTTCAAGACACCTGCCGCACAGCCAGCAAGCGACAATTGTCAAGCAACGACTGAGGCGCGAGTGAGTCAATAAACAATGCTTGCCTTCTACAACCGCAGCAGAGCTGGAGGAATTCGAGTTATTCATCAACGAAGAGCTGCTGCTATCAACAGAATTTTCAACAGCTGTGTCCACTATCCGAATAGAACTCGTTGACTCGCCACACGCTATGAGGCCTCTGCAAACGGGACAATCCAGTGAGCTAGTCGGGCTGGAAACAGTTGAAGTGCTAGTAGTGGTGGCCGTAATAGCGCCACCATTGCTGAAGGACATACGACTTAAGCGATCGCTGTGACCTGGGGAGCCTTGCGCATCAGTTGCAGCATCATCGTCCGCGGAGCACAAAGGACAGTTCACCACCGAAGTTGTAGTGGTAGTGTTTGTATTGCTGGGCGCCCCAGAATTGCGCCTACAAAAGCAGACACATTCACGACAAAGAGACGAGTAATCGGTGCCTTCACTGAACCCACTACCGCCGCCCGACACACAGCTCGTACAACTGGAACACATCGAGCAACGCGAATCCTTGCTAGGTTGCGACAATTGCAAGGCTTTGGCAATACCGCGCACCACTGCTGGCGGCAGTTTCTCCTTCTTCCACCAGTGCGCATACATGCCGGAACGAAACAGTCGTCCGTCTACCGTACTCGCACCGGCTGTCGTATCTGTGTCATCAAGGCTTGACGAGAACTGCATGTTTGGAACACTGCCAGTCATCAGCTGGTGACTGGAATTGCTTGCCACCGAATTGATAGTCGTGCTGCTTGCGGATATTTCCAACTCGGCCGTTGTTATTGTTGAGAGGGGCGCCATCTTAATCGCTGCACTTGTGGTTGGGGCGATGCCATATTGTCGTTGTTTATGCTCAGCACCGCTTTCAGCTGCATTGTCTGTAAGATCTTGCGTAGCTTCGGGCGTAAGAAATTTTGCGCGAAACATGCCACAAACATCGAATCGCGTGAGATCATTCATATCGTCGGTGGCACAATTAGTTGTTTCTGGCATGGGTAATACTTCGCCGATGTAGTAATTTCCAAATTGCGTGTCGTTAATGAGTGGTGGATCGGGTGAAGTTATAGTGCAACTGCCAGCCATGCCCGAGTCGCTGGAACGTGGACTCGGACACTGCGAACTCTCGCAGCATTTGCATTTTGTGCTTGAAGCGCGTGATGGCTGCTGAGTACTATGCGCATACCGCTTCGGAATGTTGTTATTATTACTTGAGTTTCCAATAGATTGATTGCCACTACTTCCGCTTCCGCTGGCAATGGGTTCCGTCGTGCTATCGCCCACATGCTCATTGGACATATGCACATATTGATAGCTTATGCAGCGCCTAATTGAGGACGGCCGTTCTTGTTTGCTGCTGTTCCTATCACCGCTGGCACGTTGCGGCTCAATATAGAGTTCGGTCGTCGACTGGCTGCTCTGCATGGCTGCAAAGTTATCGCATTGCTCATTTTTCGACACAGCTTTTTCTCGTTGCTCCTGTACAACATTTTGATTGAATAGGAACTGGGGTTTGAACATGGTAGGTGGTGATATAATGTCGTCGAAGTCTTCCGCAATTCTATATTTGGATAAAGAAGGGTCAGCATTTTAGCAGACAATGCAGAGAGCAAACAAACTTTATTCGCCAAAATTTTTTTATTTACTTTCAATAATTTCACTTTATTTTAGTTTATAATTGAATCAAATTTCAACTCTTCTATTTGATTCTTTTATTTTATTTTTTATTTTATTTTTTCTTCTTTTTTTATTCTTAACTTTTTTGATTTTTCAGTAGTAGTTTTAAAATCTCTACTTTGGCGAATAAAGCTTTAAATGCTGCTCTTAGCACAAAATTCTCCGAAAATCCTCATAAATCTAAGCCAAAATCGCCGGTACCAGTAAAGAATTTCTTCTCAAATACACTAAATCCAAATTAAACGAGTTTTGGCTTTGCAATTATGAAAATTTTCGTTAAATTGTGGTATATTTCTTCAGCTTCCTCTGACGTTTGTCTCTCCAAGCAGCTCTCATCGAAATTGTACAACAACTCCGCCTGCATTTTGTCCGGCGCTGTCAAAAACTCAGCTGGCAAGTCTAGAGTACTGGAATGCGTCACGTCGTCAACATCATCATCGTCGTCGTCATTACCATAACTAAGTTCTGCATTTGCATTGTCACTAACTACGCTTTCATTCTTCAAGGCATCCACGCTCAAATTGTGTGCCTCCTTACGATCCTGCCAAGTTGGTACATAGACTGCAGTCTTCGAGCTGCGATTGAAGCGATTGCCTACAAATAAGTTTGGCATACTATGCCGTTCTGGTGGTGATTCGATGGAGGAATCATGAGCATTGACTTTTATTTTTGTTTCATCTGACATTTTTGCCAGATTCTCACATGCCACATAAGCACCGCCTAGTCGTCCTCCAAAAACGGAAGAACCTTGAGATGCTTGGGAGGTTTGATGAAGCAAACTTTGTTGCAGACTCGTTGTGTCTTCAGACAACTCCTCTAGACAACTGGCAAAGCCGCCGCCAGAGCTCAGATCCAGATGCGCTGTTGTTGTGTGAATGATAATACTATCGGTTGACTTGCGTACCAAGGCTTGCATGGCTTTTGAGCCGATAATGAGGGATTCCTTTTGTAAAGGACCTGACGCCGCTACTTCGAGCTGTCCACTATCGCTACTATCCGTGTCTAATTTTATGAGATTTATTGATGAGCAGTGACGCTCCTTCCGCATTGTCGGCTCACAGCGCTTTTCACCTGATGGTTCAATCGAGTCACGCCGATTCGCATGGAATTTAACGTATTCGTAAGGCGTGGAATCACAATCCGAATACTTCTCATAATCATCGTCCTCTTCTTCTGCGTCACTCTCGGAATCTGTGGGTAATTCAAAGGCATCTTGTCGTTCCAATTCTGAGCGCTCTGAGGAGTTGGAATACTCTATTTCATGATGGCCGGTTTTTGACCCCTTTGCCGTGGATTTGTGGTCGCGTTTTTTACGCATCGGTATACACTTTAGGTCGATACTTTGCCGTGCTTGCGGATAGAGCAACAATTTCACTAAATTACTTTTCAATCGACCCGCCTTTACGAGTTTGGCAAAGTGTGCACTTAGGTTAGCATAGGGTGCGGTGGGCGGGTAGTTACTCGGAGGCAATGTTATGCGATATGGTTTGCATGGAGGAGCAGCGTAGTACGCGCAGAGCGAGAAACGTGTACTGTAACCGCGCGAATCTAAGATATGAGGGTTCTGCGTGCGACGTGGTTTCAGTTGATTTCGTGCGATTTTTTTTTTATTATTGGATTTTGCGTTTTTTAAGTAGTGTTGTTAATTTTGAATGTTATTTTTGTTTTTATTTTAAGTTTACGTTCAAGATTTTGTAAGATCGTTGAATATTTTTTAAAACAAACATAAAATGCAAGTAAAAAGTTTAAATTAAAAACTTTAAGACAAAATATTGTTACTAAAATAAGACCTCAAACTCTTTTTACTCTATTAATATAAACTCATTAACTCTGAATGATCAAATTCTATGTTAATATTAATGCGGGTTATTGTATGGAGTTCAAATAGTGAAGCCCCGTTTAATAACCTTTTAAATACTTCAATAATTTTTGTGTTCTTTGCCCAAAATGACTTCTGTCTGCACTAAACAATCTTCTGAGCATTATTCATTTAGAATTAAATTAACAGAATCATGAATCAATTCGGTCGTAACAGCTCAATTAAGTCAATCAAATAAGACCAAAAACCTACATTCAAAGAGTTTGAGGGTATCAAAAACCAAGATCTTAAGTCGTTCAGCTCACTTACATGCGGTGGTGGTTGTGGCGCACTGCCGGTCATTGATTTATTACTTAAATTGCTTAATTGACGTTTAATGCCGATTGGCATTGTTGGATTAGCTGATGTTAAAAGCTCCACCCATCTATTGGCCTCGTTGGGCCCCTGGCACACAGCAACGATACGTTCTATTAGAGGACCGTTGATTTCAAAGGCATTCTTCACGGTGTCGCTGTCCTCGAGGCGATTCACAATGATGCCTGTGAGTGGCAGTTTTCCCTGAAAGGACAATCAAATTATGAACCAAAGAATAAAATGGAAGTAACTATGGGAAAATTCACCTCATATATAAAGGCACTCATTCGTTGACTGACACTAAGTATCAGCAAAGTGTGCGGGAAAAGCACAAAATACCGATCACGATGATCGGGCCCAACAGCAACGCTTCCCATGTGTATAATATCACCTACGTTATAAAAAAAAATCAATAACATGTGCTATGTAAAATTTAAAAGTTTGCCCGCTGCACCTAAGGAACTTAGCTCTTGTCCCTGCCAACCACGCACTGGTCCAGTCAACACCTGAAGTTCCAGTTCCTTTTGGCGCCTCGTGGCTGAACAAGCCGCCTGTTGTGTGGGAAAAGTATATTATTTATAATTTATTACCGTTAAATCTTCTATTAAAATGCTTTACCGCAATATCTTTGTAGACCGCAACACTGCGCTGCGTATCTCCCCTATCCGGATGACTGCTCTCCATGTGGCGCTCGAGTTCCTGCAACATGGCGGAGTATTTATCGAGCCGTCGAAAGGGTTTCGAAAGGCCAGTCGTTAGTACCAACAGTCCAGGCGAGGCAGCGCCTTGACGCTCCATATATCTTTCCAATTCATCTCTGGAAATTGACAAGACGAGTTTTATATTTTTTGTGTATATTTTTTTATTATTTTGCTTTGTTCAAAACTCTTTGCTGGCTACTCACTTGTGCTTATCGAGTATAACTATCGCCTTCGGATGGGCGGCACAGTAGGCCTGATGCACTTGTTTCATAAGTGGCGCTTTTGTTAAAAATAATTTACCGACTCGATCATTGCACTCCTCCATGTGCTTGAGTAATTCTTCGTGTGTTTTAACGACTTCCACGAAATTACACATCAACTGCGCATATTCGTCTGCGTTGAGTCTGTAAAACAAAATATACATATGAAAATAATTAAAACCTTCCATTTTGCCATTAAGTTTTGCTCCTTACATTTGTGTCTGCTGCAACGGATCGAGAAAATTCTCTAGCAAACCTTGTACCTCGGCAACATGTGCGCGTTCCGAGTCGAGCAGATCTTTTAGTACAACCGAACGATACTCTTGTATCTCCTCTGGTGGTCGTATCGTTTCTGTGAGTGGCAAAGGTGCTTTGTATTCGTTTACATAATTGCTGGGAAACCAGCCAGTCTTATCGTTAAGTGTGCCCTCCCACCAGCCACCCTCCTCGCGCTGAGTGACTGTGATGAGGTCGCCTTTCTTAAAGCATAGTTCGTCATTATTTCCTCCCTTGAAAGAGTATTCGGCTTGGACGATTAGTGGCTGTGACATTTTGCTTTTGTTATTATGGTTGTTGTTGCTTGTGTTGTGTATGTTTTCTCCTTCTCCAGGATCGTGTCTTCTGTAAAGTCTTCCTTTTCACTGCGATTGGCGCCAGTTCAATGTGATGTGTAGAGAAGGCGGCTTCAACTTGAATGTTTCTCAATTTGTTCTTGAGAGCGCAGATACTTGGCTTTCTTCTCGCCGAGTAGTTAAAGCTAAAAAAGAAGGATCGTTGTTAAAGTTTTTGTATATTTCACTAATATAAACATTATTTTAAATAAGGAAGTTATAAGAATTTCGGGAAATTTCGAAAAACACATATTTTTCATTACACAGATGAAAAAAATATTGGACGAGGTGGAAAAATGTATTCTTGAATAATCCATTGCATTAATAAAAAACTTGTGTCAAAATCACTACTGCCCTTAAAAAACATGAAAAAAATAACGCCAAAAATATTTAGATCAATCTTGAAGGTCTTTATATTCTCTCTTATTTTTCAGATGTTCGCCAAAGTCGGCATTGTCAATGAGTGTAAATAAAAAATAATTTCAGAAAATGCGCCGGCCCAATTTTTCCCAACGTTTAATCAAGTATTCATATATGTATATAACATTTATGTATATGTATATATGTAGGTGTATGTATTTTTTATAATTTATTTAGTATGTCACCTCGCAGTGGAGAAGGAAAAATGCCAAGGTTGCCAAGGTCGACGCAACTCATTCGGTCGCCATCTTGGCGTGTCATTAACATGCCGATCGTGACGATTATGGTTTTTCTCGCACCTCCACAAAAAGCTCAATGAAATTATATGAAGCAATATGCAATAAAACTTTTAATACGGTTAATAAACAATGATTTACTATACTTGAACTTTATTCAATTCCAATAATGATTATTGGTTATTATAGAAATTTCTAAAAGATTATTCACATAAGAGCACACTTTTTTCGAATTTTTTTTTTTTTTTGGGTGGAAGCAATGGATTAGTATTTAAAAAGGCAAATAATGGTGTTTTTTATTTATTCTTTGCTCTTCGCTAATTTTGAAAATACATACAATAAATATAAAGTTATATATACGTGATACGAGGGCATTAACAAAAGCTCGATTTGGTGGTGACTTTCAAATTGTTTTTGTTAAATCGAAAAATACCAAATCCTTTGCAATTTCTTTATTAGTCTTCCTTCCAATTTTTAGAACGATCGGCTAAAATGGAGTCGAGAAAACGCAAAATAGCTGAGGAAAGGAATTGGGCTTAAATGCAATGACTTTATCGCATATATTATGTAACCAACTGGGATACAAGAAGAAATCTGCTCGACGTGTACAACGAATTTTAAATGAAGCCCGAAAGAGGATCGAGTACGATTTGCTAAACTTTTCATAAAATTCGAAAATAGTCAGTCTAGCAACTTTCGCTCTATAAGTATGATCCAGAAACCAAGCAGCAGTCCATGGTATGGAGTCCAACAGCAGCAAACCTACCAGTGAAATCTAAGCAAGAAAAATCCGCAGCAAAAGTAATGATGTCAGTTAAATCTTAGCTGTTATTCCACTTTAAAAGGGTCAGACGATAACTGCAAAATGGTACACCGAAGAATGCCATCCCACATTGCTGAAATAACGAGTAATTTTATTGCGATCTCTAGGATCGAGAAATACGTCCAGCACCATATTCCCCGGATATAGCTGCCTGTGATTTCTAGTTATGTCCAGCAACGAGGAGATAATTAATGGAGAAGTTGAAGACTGTTTTCAAAAGTGGATTTATAGCCTTAAGAAATACATTAAAATCAATAGCGATTATGCAGGGAAGATAAAAAGGACAAAGATAACGAAATTGAAAAATAATTTTTTTTTTGTTATTTAATCGAACTTTTGTTAAACCCCTCGTACATCTACATTTAAGATTCAAAAGAACCTATTTTGCTGCATATCCACATAAATATGAAAATGTTTATGGTTTTTGTTTTTGGCATAAGATTGATATATTTTTATACGACACACGCTGCAATGAAAATAAGTTGGAAATTCCACGGCAGTTTGTCATTGGATTTTGTTTGCTCATATGTATATATGTAAAGCAAATAATTTTGCTTAGAAACAAACAATTTTTTTTTAAATATTAACCCTTAACCTTTTTTAATTTTATTTTTAAACATTTTTTATTTTTAAAATTTCTTTTAATTTTTTATATTTTTTGAAATTTTTTTTAATTTTTAATTTTTAATTTTTTTTAATCTTTTTTATTTTTTAATTTTAAATTTTTTTTTAATTGCTTAGTTGTAATGTATTTTTATTTATTTTTTTATATTTCCTTTTTTAATCATTTTATTTTCCTTATTCTCTTTTTTAATCATTTTGATTTGTTATTCTATTTGTAAACATTTATTATTTTTTTTTTAATTTTCTGAAATTAGTTTTCTTAACATTTAGTTTTTTCTTCAATTCTCTTTTATATTATTTTAGTTTTTCATTTTTTTTGTTGGCTTTTTTTAATTTTTGCTTTTTTTATAATTTTATCTTTGTGTTTTTAAATTATTTAATGTTTTTTATTTTTAAATGTTTTTAATTTAAAATCTTTTATTATTATTATTTTATATTATTAAATTTTTTACATCTTCAATTTTTGTTTATATATTTCTCATTTAATTTTTTATTATTTTATTTCATTATCTATTATTTTACTTGTTTTTTATATATTGAAAACTTTGCTTCTGTTTTTCAAAATGTTTTCATTTCATCTTTTATTCATTTTTTCCTTTTTCAAATAATTTTCATTTTTTCAGTTCCGGCTAAGTGGTTAGCATTGCGTACTACCATACGGAAGGCTCGCGTTCAAATCCCCGTGCGACCAACATCCAAAAGTTATAGAAATTCTCGGCAGGGAATGTCAACTCCTCCGAGTGTATTTCTGACAAATAAAGGCTCCTCATAAAAAAACATCAGCAGCTCGGAGGCGGCTTAGTATAAACAGTAGATGCCTCTATTTGTTGGAAAAACATCAAGACGCAAAACCAGTTATTTATATTTTTTATTTTAATTTATTTTATTTTTTTTATTATTATTTTTTTTTTAATTTCACAACCACACGACCACACAACCCCAAAACGATTGCCCTGTTGAAAGTAACGTAATAAAAGTGTTCCAATATACGAATGTGTTACTTTCGCTGACTGAATGTTTTTCAAATAAATAACCGATATTTATAGGTATATTTTAAGCATCTCTGAATTAGTTATTTATGGAAACATTTATATTTTTTGATACTTTCTTTGCTCTAAATTTACAATCGGAACCCACTTCACGGAAAATCCTTTCTTGTCGGATACCTGCATTTTACACAGAATACTCCCACCGATTTCAGATCTCTACGTTCAGTCGTTTAGGTTGGACCAAAGTCTCTTGAATATTTCGATTATAATTTCTCTTCGAACCAATCTGGTATCGCATAAGCAAGCGAATTTTTTAATCTTTCCACAGCTATTTTATTTGATTTCAAATTGTGTTTTCCAAACGCAGATATCATCAACATTTCAATCAATTGTTAATAAACTACAGTTTCTAGATAAGAGTTTTTAGTTTTCAATATCTTTTTTATATATACAAGTCAACTTAGAAATGGGACTAGCACCTGAGAATTTAGCATCTTCACAAGGCAAACTCCCCCGCTTTTCACTTTTCACTATATTTACACGGCATTTGACATCACTTAAGAATATATTTCGACTTAATCACACACTTTCGCTTACTGTTTGAACGCCGTGGAATTGTTTACTTGAAAATCTGTTTCTGTTTTATCTCACATCTCACGTCTGGCTTTCGGAAGCAATAAATGACACCGCAGACAACGACCCTCTCGTGCGAAGGGGGCAACAAGTGCAAGGCAACAACTAATTTAAGCATAGCATATACGTGTATGTAGATATGTTTATATTTAAGTATGTAGTACATAAATACATACATATGTAGACACGGCGGCATGTCATCGCCACATTTATTATCAGTGAAACGTAAATTTATTCTAAACAACAACAAAAACAACAACTAAATTATTGCATACACTTAATTTTACATCTGTTTGTTTGTCGACTTTTCGTGCTGCTCTGTGACAAACTGTGCAGTTTGCTCATTGGTGTCAATTGGATTAGTGACGGAGTTCTTTCATGATGGATGTCGACATTAGAGGTGTTCAGTTGTTGTAGCTGTTGTTCATTGTTGTTGCACATCAAGTCATGGGTAATAAGTCTCGTGGCAGCATACAAAATAAATAAATAAAAAATAGCCTAAAGCATATGCATATGCATTTATATAAAACAAACATTAGGGTGGTCAATAAATAAAATTATAATTTTCCCACATCCGAATGATAAAAAAAATATAAATATGTAAATATAGAAAGGCTTCGCGTACAATTTTTGGCCCTCTTCTACGAGTTGGATACGGGGAATACCGCCGGAACGATGAGGTGTACGAGGTTGACAGCGGCTACGCTGGCTAGGTCATGTGCTCCGGATGGATGAAAATAGTCCAGCTTTGAAAGTTTTCGATGCAGTACACGACTAGGCAGAGAAACTGGCTGTACTTGGTATTTCTGATTTGGCGTCAAACAGCGAAAACAAAATTTTAATGGAACAATAATGTGAACTCGGCTATAATCGCATAAGCGAAGTCTACGCCAGTAAAGAAAACATATTTTTCCAAGTATTTAACTTTTGCTTGAATTGCCCCCCAATTCAAAGTAGCACATATGTATTCGATAAAAGATAATGGAGAATTGTTGATCACTTAACTCAGTAGTGATGGATCGGATGTCAGAGATGGACACCAGCAAAAAGAGGAACCGCTATATTTTTCTTCAAAAAAAAGGCGAAATGCAAATGAAAATCGTCGAGTCTGACCCTTATGCAAGCACTCTTTCGATCCACAATATGTATGGATCCAAATTGAGTTAAAGAGAAAAAACCTCAAGAACCCAGGGTTATGTTTCATCAGGACAACGCTAGAACACACACATCGATATTGACTGGCCAGAAGCTCCGGGAGCTTAGTTGTGAGGTCCTTATGCACCAACCTATAGAACGTATCTCGCACCAAGTGCTTACCATCTGTTTCTGTCAGTGACGAATGATTTGGGGGAGAAGAATTGGCTTCCGACTGTCTTATTTTTTCGCCAATAGGGACAATGGCTTCTATGAGAGGCATAACA